CAAATAAATACACACAAATAAAAAGATGCCCCATATTTTCCCACATTTTCTAAGTTTTTGTCTTCCCCCCCACTTCCCATATTTTCCCATATTTTCCTGGGACTCGACGATTAATTGTGTCTGTGTGTTTTTTCTCCTCCTGATCAATGCCCTGCCTCCTCCTCCTCCTCCTCCTCCTCCTCCCCCTCCTCCTCCTCACCCTGAGGCCTCCATTCCGTCCCATTCGGCCAGCATGCAAGAACGGACCCTGCGGGAAACGGGTCCCCGACCTCCGCGGCCTCCCCCCAGGACCAGAAGCCGGAAATGTCAGAACGCCTGAGGCCCCCCTGCCCCCGGACCCCTTCCGCCGCCGCCGCTGTCGTCGTCGCGGCGGCCGCGACGCTGGTGAGTGTGCTTGTCCTACAGATACTTGACCGGCGCCTTGTGCGGCTCTGCTCGCCCCATGGGTCTGTTTTCCCCCGCGGCGACTCCGCATCACTCGACCCACTCCACGCGCGTGCCCCGCGCCTCCTGTAGGGGCCTCCCAGATGTGGCCTGGTGGCCCGAGCAGATGGGGTCGGAGAACCTGGCCGCATCACCGACGCATCACCGATGCATCGGCGATGCAATGGCGCCGTCGGCGATGCATCGGCGACGCCTGTGTGGAGGAAATCGGGCTCCACATCGAGCCGCGTCGCTGCACCATGGGCGATGGGGCGCAATCCTCTGACCCCATCTGCTCGGACCCCGTTCCCCAGACATCCGGACGCTCCAATTTTTTGTTCGATGCGTGGGCCCTCTCGAGGACTGGCCCACTTCCCGAAAAAGGACTGGCTCTTTGTCCATGTGCCGCTGTCTCTCGCTCCCGAGGCCTGGCGAGGGCCCCTAGAGGCGGAAACGGCAAAAAAAAACGCTACGTCAATTCTTGCGGAGCGTCGGACCTCCCCAGAGACGCGACGTCCTGATTTTTTCAACACGGGGTCCCTGGAAGTCCCGACCCTTTCCCAGGACAAGTTTTTCGTCCCGAGTCGTTGTTTGACGGCCCCGAGGCCTGGCGAGGGCCCCCCCGAGGCCGAACATGGCCAAAAACCTGCCGTCCTGATTTGTTCTCTTGTTCGACGCGACCATGTCTGGGCTTGGAGCGTCGAAATTCAAAGTTTGGGAGGTCCACATATCTGAGGCGGCAAACTCTATACACCGACGCTTTTTCTTGATCCTGGTGTATACATTTTGCGCTGCTTCCCCGGGAGAACGGGGAAACAAATATGCACCACACCGACCCGACGTCGTCCCCAACCATAAAAAATAAAGGGATTGAACAAGAGCCCGCCACGGGTAATGTTTTGGACGCCCGAAATGGGTACGGAAAGAATGGGTACAATGCCCAACAACAAATGTTGTCCCAAACCAACAGCGGCCGCTGTTGGTCTGTCTCGAATGGACACAGGCCGCGGCGGCGTGGACGGCGAGGCCTGTGCAAAACGAACCAGATCCGCTGTTGGGCATTGTACCCCTTCGTTCCGTGCCCACTTCGTCCGTGCAGAGGTAATGTATAGGGGGCAAACAAACCTACCTCGTTTTTGACCACCCTCGCTTCCAAGAGATACCAAGCGATGCCAAACTATGGCCTGTACTGGTCAGGCCGCTTGACGAGGAGGCGCGTGGTATGACTTGGTTCTGCCTGGAAGCGAAAGCGAGGTAGGTCATTCACGCTCTGACTGCATACGTTCCAGCTCCCGCATCTCCTCGTGAAGCTCCAGGAACCGCCGCTGCCGCTCCCCGGCGCCCAGCTCCTCGGCGCCCAGCTCCGCCCCCCGCGCCGCCCCCGCGCCCGGGCGCCCGCCGCGCGGGCCGGGGCCCTCCTCCGCCGCGCGGCCGCGGCACGCCCCCGCGGGCCCGGAGTCGAGCCTGCAGGGCGCAGGGCGCCCTCGGAGTCATGGAGAGCTCACGGCGAGAGAGGTCTCTCCCGATTCTCGGTCTCTGGGCCCCGGGAGTCATGGAAGAGATCACGCGCGAGAAAGGTCTCTCGCAATTCTCGGCCTCTGGAGGGGGGCCCTCCCCGGGCCTCGGGGCCGTCGTCAAGGAACGGCTCGGGACGAGAAGCCGGTCCCGGGAAATGGGTCGAGACCTCTGCAGGGGGTCGACGTCGGGAGCAAAATCACGACGTCGGGGGTCTGGGGAGCCGAGAGCGGCAGGAAACCCAGAGGTCCGACGCTCCAACAAGCATTGGAGCGGGCGGTGCTGGGCTGCCTTCGGCCTCCAGGGGGGGGCCCTCGGCGGACCTCGGGAGTGCCAAAGACGACTGCAGGGCGAAAAACGGGGCCCGCGTATCGAAAAACTAGGAGCAGCCGGATGTCTGGGAGCATACAGCTGGAAACGTGATCAAGCAACTTCTCACTGATTGGAACTCTGGGCCAGCTCCCCGGAAGTTTCTTAAAGCAAGCCTCGGCCAATGTGGGCTGCGTGCGCTGGAGGGGCGGGCGTGCTCGAGAAACCGGGCAAGCTCTCTGGCAAGTTGGTCAGGAAACGCTGGGGGCGCCCAGCTGTTCGGGAAAAGGCGTCTTAAGCAGGTGCTCGGCCGTGAGCTCTCCGAGGTCGCGGATCTCCCAGAGCGGCGCTGGGCCCTCCCACCCACCCCCGGCGCGCGGAGCGCGCCAGGGGCGGCGCCGGAGGCGCCGCCACGGGGGCCCAGCGCCGATCCCAGAAATCCGCGCGGACCTCCAAAAGATTAGATTCGTGCCATCATTTGTTTCCCGAGGTTTCCGAGTAAAGGACTCATCAACCTCGAACGCCGAATCTCGATCGCCGTCGTCGTCGTCGTCGTCGTCATCGTCGTCGTCGTCGTCGGCGTCGTCGTCGTCGTCGTCGTCGTCGTCGTCGTCGTCGTCGTCGTCGTCGTCGTCGTCGTCGTCGTCATCGTCGTCGTCATCGTCGTCGTCGTCGTCGATGTCGATCGTCGTCGATGTCGATCGTCGTCGTCGTCGTCGTCGTCGACCGTCGTCGTCGTCGTCGATCGTCGTCGTCGTCGTCGTCGTCGATCGTCGTCGTCGTCGATCGTCGTCGTCGACCGTCGTCGTCGTCGTCGTCGTCGTCGACCGTCGTCGATCGTCGTCGTCGATCGTCGTCGTCGTCGTCGTCGTCGTCGATCGTCGTCGTCGTCGTCGATCGTCGTCGTCGATCGTCGTCGTCGTCGTCGTCGTCGATCGTCGTCGTCGTCGATCGTCGTCGTCGATCGTCGTCGTCGTCGTCGTCGACCGTCGTCGATCGTCGTCGCCGTCGCCGTCGCCGTCGTCGATCAACGTCGATCGTCTTAAGCAGGTGCTCGGCCGTAAGCTCTCCGAGGTCGCGGATCTCCAGGAGCGGCACTGGGCCCTCCCACCCACCCCCGGCGCGCGGAGCGCGCCAGGGGCGGCCCAGAAATCCGCGCGGACCTCCGAAAGACTATAGATTCATGCCATCTCATTAGGTTCTCGAGGTTTCCGAGTAAAGGGCTCATCAACCTCGAACGCCGAACGTCGATCGCCGCCGTCGTCGCCGCCGTCGTCGTCGTCGTCGTCGTCGTCGTCGTCGTCGATCGTCGTCGATCAACGTCGATCGTCGTCGACCGTCGTCGTCGTCGTCGTCGACCGTCGTCGATCGTCGTCGTCGATCGTCGTCGATCGTCGTCGTCGTCGTCGTCGTCGTCGTCGTCGTCGTCGTCGTCGTCGAGAGCCACACGGCCGCGGGCGCCCCGCACCCCAGGCCGCAGCACGTCGCGGCCGCCGCCGCGCCCCCGCACAGCCGCGCGCCCAGCGCCTCGCAGGCCCGGCGCGCGTCGCCGTAGGCGGCGGCCTGCGGCAGGCAGACGGCGGGGAAGCCGTCCGAGGCCGAGCGTCGGGGAGCAGACGGCGGCACAAAGGCATACGACGAGCTGCCCCGGGCCGGGCCCCCTCGCGCGGCGACGAAAAAAAGCCGCGACGGGAGGCCTCTCCACACCTCCGGCCTCCGGGGGCCCTGGCCGGGCCCCGCGGGGCCGTCCAGCAGCGGCTCGGGAGGAAGAACCGGCCCCGGTCGACGCGGCGCCAAAGTCACGACGTCGCGGTGCCGGGGTCCAGGCCTCGGGGGGGGTCGTCGACGCGGCGCCAGACTCACGACGCCGCGCTGCCAGGGCCCACCCGGGCCTCGGGGGGTCGTCGACGCGGCGCCAAACGCACGCCGCCGCGGATCTGGGGGTCGGAGGCCCGCGCGGACTGCTCTCGGGTCGGCGCTGGAGCCCACCCACCCCTCTGGCGCGCGGAGCGGAGCGCCGCCACGGGGCGCAGCGCCGGAGGCGCCGCCGCGGGGCGCTCTGGCGCCGAGCCAACGGCGCCGTCCGCGCGGGCCTCCGGCAGTGTATGCCTCGTGCTGTCTGGTGCTCCCCGAGAGAGGCGCCAGCTGCGGTTGCGCGGCACCCAGAACGGTAAGCACCTCGGCTGCCCCCCCCCCGCCACATAACTTGACGCCACTCGCAGGCCGCAGCGTGTGGACGCGGGGCTCGGCACGTGGATGGAAGACGTGTGTCTGCCACGATACTCTCGCTGCAACGTGGGCCAGCATGTCTTGAGCCAACACGCAGCGGGTTTAACCCGGACGCTATAGTTGCTTCTCCATCGGGGAGATCAAAAAATACTGATACCGCTACTCCCCAGACCCTCTCCCGGGGTGCGTTCCGATCAGAGGTTCGACGCGAATCCAGCCGTGGCGACAAGGGCCTCCCAGCAGGCCGAAAAAGGGGGACAACGGGCGAAGGGTAGCAGTATGGGTACTCTGGGTTTCTCAATAGGCGTGGAGGGGTACCCCCCCGACGAGGGGTCAACCTCGCCTCGTCCTCGCGCCGCGACTGGGGTCGGAGCGCCTTCGGCGCGCGGTGGCTGCCCGCGACGGGGGTCGATGTGGGGCCGTCGGCGGGGGTGACGCCCCCCCGACGCTTATTGAGAACCTCGGAGTGCCCTGCTCCTCCTCGGAGTCTGACTGCGGGCGCACAGGGCAGCTGAGGGAAGCACTGCGCGGTCTCCGGGCCCGCCCCCTCGGCGTGCCAGCAGCAGCGCACGGCCGCGTACGCGCCGCGCCCCCGCACCTCCACCCGCGCCTCCGGCCCGCGGCACGGGTGCAGCGCGACCCTCGCGCCCGCGCACGCGGCACGGCCCTCCGCCCTGCCGGCGCCGCCCGCCGCGGCCTCCAGCGGGGCTCACGCATCGAGTCGGGAACTCGGATTATCGAATCGGAGCGTGCATCGAACCGGGGCCGCATCTCGGCACGGTGCCGGAATCGAGCTGCATCGGCCGCGCCCCTGCGCAGCGACGCCCGTGCGGGCCTCGGGCCGCAGCGGCTCGTCGGGCCATGGGATTCGAATCGGGCTGGGTCGGCCGAACTCGCTGTCGAAGCGGATCGGATCGATCGGCTCGAAAGGAAACCCGGCCTCCGAGCATCGTTCTACCGACCCCTATCCCCACCGGCGCGGCTTGGGCCCCAGTGGCCGAGCTGCCCCCCCCCATAGATGGAGATATGATGAGGCCGTTTCCTTCTGATGTCGAGAGGTATGTAGCCCCAACGGGGTGCTGAGATGGTGGGGGCCCGAATGGGGATGGGGATGGGCCCAGACATGCGACGTCCTGAATCTTTCGGTATGGGGTCCCTGGAAGTCCCGACCCTTTCCCCGGGACTGACTGGTTTGTCGTCATGAATCGATTTTGGACGGCCCCGAGGCCCGGCGAGGGCCCCCCGAGGCCGAAAATGGCAGGAGGCCAGTCCACAAGAAACATTCCATGAGCAACCCAACCCTGAGACCCCAGGGCATCCCTTGATCTTTGGTGTGGGAACGTCTCGCCTTCCGCCGCAAAACCAGCGCAACCCAAGGAACCCAGGGCACCCTGGAGGCAAGCAGGGTGCCCCCAGGGTGCCCAGATCTGTCAAAGGCTTCCAACGTGCGCTGCAGCGTCTTGCGAAAGATAGCGCCGCGTCTGGTTGCCATCAGTGGTTCCGGATCTTCCGCCCTGGCTGACACCGCCGAAAGAATTCGTGCTTCGTGTGTTGTTTGATTGATTGAGGGTTTGTCGTGGAAAAGGGTGCCTCTTGGCATGTAGGGGCACAACAAGTGACATAAACATAAAACAACTCGGAGGTCCGCGCGAAATTCTCGGATCGGCGCTGGACCCCCCTCCCTGGCGCGCGGAGCGCGCCAGGGGCGGCGCCGGAGGCGCCGCCAGGGGGGTCCAGCGCGGATCCGAGAAATCCGCGCGGACCTCCGAGTTTTTATGTTTACGCCACTTTTTGTTCCCCTAGCATGGGCCTCCACTGCACAACGATGGCGGTGCTGCCTCGGCGTCGGGGCAGAGCTCCACGAGGTCCACGAGGGGCAGCCACAGGCCCGCCAGCTCGTGGCCGGGCACGGCGCCCGAGCGGCCGAAGCGGCCCTGGCCCAGGGCCTCGCCGCTGAAGCTAGGGGAACAAAAAGTGGCATAAACATACAACTCGGAGGTCCGCGCGGATTTCTCGGATCGGCGCTGGACCCCCTCCCTGGCGCGCGGAGCGCGCCAGGGGCGGCGCCGGAGGCGCCGCCGGGGGGGCCCAGCCCCGATCCGAGGAATCCGCGCGGACCTCCGAGTTGTTATGTTTATGCCACTTTTTGTTCCCCTAGAAGCGCAGCGGCTCGGGCACGAAGGCCGAGGCGTCGAAGGGCTCCGAGTGGAAGGGGCCCCCACCTCCCAAACGCGAGTCGGGCGTGTCCCTCCTGAAGGAAAACTCCCAAACAGTCCAGAAGAATGGTCTGGGGACTATTCTTTGACTGGTCTGGGCAATTCTTGAGCATGTTCTGACTATTTCTTATTTTTGGCCACAAGTCCGCCTGTAGGGGGACATGCCCGACCTAATCCCAAACCTTCTAGGGCACTGGAAACGACAGGCAGGGCGGAGTTTTGTTACCGGTCCGTTCTGCCGTTCTCGTGCCGGCTCCGTCGCCTTGTTTTTGTTGCCAATTCCGTCGCCGTTTTTGTTTTCGGTTCCGGCTCCAGCTCCAATCCCGGTCCTGTTTTTTGCCGTTTCCAGTCGCCGTATTTGGGCCGCTTCCATTTGCAAGTGACGCTTTTTCGGAAACGGTGAAGAAAAGGCCCTGCCGTTTCTGGGGCCCACAGAGTCCCAGACCCTCTCAAAATCACGACGGGAGATCTTCGGCCTCTGCATGGGGATCCAAGCACGGTAAAGACTCGGGATGGGCTCGGGACCGTCAAAGACGACTCGGGATAGAAACCCAGTCGCGGGGAGTGGGTCGAGACGTCCTGGGGTTCACGTCAAGAAAAAATCTCGACGCCGGGGGTCGGGGCTCAGCGTCTAGCTGATGACTCGGCCGATCAGGCCACCCAAGCACGAGATCCTATCGCAGCCCTGATCGCCATGGCTACCGCGCCGATCACGGATCGATCCTGCATTCAAACTCGGGCGATCGGATGATCAAGACGAACCCAGACATGCGACGTCCTGTTTTTCCTATATACGCGGTCCCTGAAGTCCCGGCCCGTTCCCTGGGACCAGTTTTTCATCCTGAATCGTTTATTGACGCTCCCGAGGCCCGGCGAATGCCCCCCGAGGCCGAAAATGGTAGAAAACCTCCCGTCCTGATTTTTGTCACGACGCGATCATGTCTGGGAACCGACCACGTGATCGGCGATCACGTGGTCCCCCGATCGCGGCGACCTGTGATCGCCGACATCGCGCGATACGCAGACACCGAGGTCCCCACCGCCGCCTGGCCGGTATGAGTGCAGGTATGGCGGCGGCGCGCACGGGAGGGCGACGAGAGGGGGGGCCTGAAGGGGCCTCCCTGGAGGGCTCGGGATGCGTCTCTCCCTGGAGACCTTGGCGACTCCACTGCCTTCGAGCCGGGCGCTCTCGCTCGGCTTCTCGGCCCCCATGGGACCCTCACTGCAGCTCGACCTGGCTCTGAGATCGGCGCCGAACGAGGGGTCCCGATAGGGGGCCACGTGCGAACCCTACCCCTACCCCCAACGACTTCTGAGAGGGAGGGTGGGGTGCACTTCGTGCGGGAGCTCCCGAGCGAAGTGAACCCCACCCTCCCCCTCAGAAATCGTGGGGGGTAGGGGTAGGGTTCGCACGTGGCCCCCTGCCCGAGGCTCTGGCCATGCTCGGTTGATCTGCGTGGCTCGCTGCCTCCGAGACCTCGGACCTCTCAAGCTCCGAAGGCCTATCCCACAGGGAGCGCCGCGCCTCCCGGGAAGGCCCCCTCTCCCCGCGCCCCTCGCAGGCCTTCTTTCCGCCCACGGCCCCACCCCTCCTCCTCCTCCTCCTCCTCCTCCTCCTCCTCCTCCTCCTCCTGCTCCTCCTCCTCCTCCTCCTCCTCCTCCTCCTCCCCGTGCCAATGACCCCCCAGGCTTCTTGGTTCTCGATGTGGTCGGGGACGCACGGGGCAGCCTTTAAGGATCCCTGCTGGGGTCCGACGAGCACCCCGACCACGAGGGCCAGGGAGTGGGGGTCGGGGCGACAAAGGCTTAATTCGGCCAGCTCGTGCATGATTGGAGCCTGCCATGGCTCGAGGCGGAGCGTCAGTAAGCATACAGTGGTTGACTGGGGCCCGGGGACCCAAACCCATATTCCGATGCTCGGGATAGGAGTTTGGGGTACGGAGGCAAAGAGCTACGGACTCACGGAGTTCGCATGCAGCACTCAGCCGGTCGTTTCGACAGGAGCGACCAGGGCCCAAGTAGTAGTTGAACATCTCACTGCCGTAACCACCACGCGGGTGGCCTGTATGTGCATCATGCGTACTGCTTACCGCCGCTTCGCCTTAAGGGTCGGGGACTACGGACCACTGCACAGCAAGTTCGCGGTAGCCCCTGGCCCGCTGATTCGACCGGATCAGCTTGCCATTCAATATGCTGCCCCCCCACGCCCATTGCCCAAAGGGTCGGGGACTAAGGACCACTGCATAGCAAGTTCACAGTAGCCCCCGACCCGCTGATTCGACTGGATCAGCCTACCAGCCGCCGCGCGCGCAGCCATCGTCAAGCACATCGCTTTAGCCGCCTGCCGCTGCTGCAGCTCTTGGGTCAGTGATGTGCGTGTCTGCTCGGGTGTGCGGCCGGCCGAGGGGGGGCGATTCGTTATTTATCTTCCCCGCTCGGGGCGAGATAACTGCGCTTCCTCGTCGCCGTCTCTGTCGTGGTCTCTCTGTCTCTGTCTCTTAACCCTTGCGCGTTGTACTATATAGCTTGCACCGCCTTCCGTTACATACTCATTTAGCATCTGCAGTAGTCTAGGACATCCGCGGACCCGACCAGCTGAAACGGACAGCCGGGGAACCGGCGGTCTGTTACGCCGCATTCCTCCCCATGCTCGCCGATCTGCCGGAGAGCCTGAGAAGCCCAGTGCTTATGAGGACCCCCTGTCGGTTCCCCCATTGTCCGTTTCAGCTTTGCGCCACCCACAATCCCACGTAGTGGGATAGCGTCGTTTGCCATCATAAGCCCTCACGCGTTGCCTGTTGCCTAATGCATGCTGGGACCTTGTTCCCTCGTGCGTTGCATGCTGATGCCGGGGCGTTCGCCCCTCAAGAGCACCCAATTCAGTGGTGGTGGCATCCAGGCCCCCCGCCCTAATCGAGGGGGCCCTGGCTGTCATTCAGGGGCGCCACTGGGCCATGCACACCCTAGGGCTACCCCAGGGCATACCCCCAGGGCTACCCTAGGGCTACCCCTAGGGCCCACCCCTAGGACTAACCCAGGGCTACCCCAAGGGCCTACCCCATAGGCTGCCCTAGGGCTACCCTAGGGTGTCCAGTAGGGCCTGCCCTCGAGAAGCCGAGGGCTTTCGGTAGGGCCTGCCCCAGGGGAAACCAAGGGCCTTCAGTAGGTTACAGGGGTAGTGGAAAAGTGTGTTTTAAAAACGCGTAATGCTCGCCGATCTGCCGGAGAGCCTGAAAAGCCCAGTGCTTATGAGGACCCCCTGTCGGTTCCCCCATTGTCCGTTTCAGCTTTGCGCCACCCACAATCCC